ATAATAATAATGATGATGATAATAATAATGATGATAATAATAATAATAATGATGATGATGATGATAACTAGTAGAAAGGACTCAGAACATGAAATCTTAAGCGCGGGGACACCAGCCACAGTGATTGTAAAGCGCTGAAGACGGCAACAAAACACAAACGTTCAAGCCGTGGCCTCAAAACGAGCCGTGATTTTCCAGCTCAGCCACGTTTTTAAAAGTTTTTATGCTACGCCGACTAGCTGCTCTTGCTGCTCACTTCTTAAACCGTCCGTCCGTCACAGTCTCTAAAAGTCGTCTCAGTCGTGAGACTCGTCTCAAAGACTTGAACCTAAAACTGTTGGAGCTTCTCGGCTGCTGGTAAAGAACCGCTGCACGAACACTTCCCGTCAACACCCGAGGTGTAGCGGCGTCGCCTCAACAGTCCACGGCCCCATTCCTGAGGCGCGTCTGGTGGTTTAGCTCTTTCAGCGTCTCATTTTCAGCTCTAAACTAGATTCACACTTTGATTTGAGTGTGACACTCAGTCCACGTTGGCCATAAGATCCGGTACACCAAGTCCAGGTCCTGGGCTCTTTGGTTAGAGCAGGGCTAGGGGGCCACGGTTACTGAAAGCCAAGAGCTCAGGGGCCGGACATCCAGCAGTTACTGTTGTTCAGTAAGTTTGTTTTATGGTTTAACATCTAGTTTTGTTTAACAACGAACTCATGGGTGGGCCGAACTGAGCTCACCCGTGGGCCTGATTTGGCCCCCGGACCCCCAGTTGAATCGCCCTGGGTTAGACTGTTTGATCTGACTGCTGATTATTCTCCTCTCTCTGCAGGAAAGGAGTCTGTCCAGGTGACCGGCGGCGCTTACAGACTCTACTCTGAAACATTAGTTAAGTTTATTATTACACACAAACCTGCTTTTATTTTGTCCGTTTACATCAAAGACGCGATGACGACGGGGAAGCGGCTACGATGCAGAACAAAGGAGGTTTTTCTGAGGCAAACTAGCACTCGTACATCCTGCTTTCAGCTTTCAGACACTTGAAGGTTTAAAAAAAACATACAGAACATTTACAGGTGGCCAGAAAACAGAAGCTTTGTCTTTCAAACTGATTTAAGATTCTTCAAGAAGGCGTGAATCAGTTTGAATCAGTTTGAATCTGTGGCATGTTCCTGTTCTCAGAGGATGAATTCCAATTCAATCATACATTTGTATTAAAAAAGGGATAATGTGTAAAGATCGTTTGCTTATTCCAAGTTTATTCAGAATCTTTATATTTCTTAGACTTTTGAAAGTGATGACAAGAGCTCACATCCAATAAATATTTAAAAAAATAAGATGTGCTTTATGATCCGTCTCCCTCTGGTGGTTGAAAACTGAACTGCGAGAATTTATTAAATGGTTGTTTTTAATTGTCGCAACTTAACCAGCTGCTAGAGCACATTGTAGTCCAAATTTTATTCAAATATGCGTTAAAATGTATAAATAAACACAAAAAATAACAATAGCAATAAGTGAAAAAGAAAACTACGGAGTTGTTTGAATAAAAAGTTGAACGTTCTTGTGGAATAAAGACAAAACATCTTCATTACCTTTTCTTGGTTTGGACAAGAGTTTAAATATTTATAATTGGGATTACGTTGAGGAAAATGTACTCACCGTCATCTTTTTGATGCCCATTACAGAAATGACCTTCTTAATGAGGTCTGCAGGGCACGGAGAACCAGCCATGACACCTACAATCACATTCAGAGTTGAAGCAAAAACTGACATTTAGTAAGAAGTTGTGTCTGAAACGCGTCCCGGCTCTTCGTCTCACCACATTCAACAGAAGACAAGTCGTATTTCGACAGACTGGGCTGGCTGAGCATGTCCACGTACATGGTGGGGGTCCCGTAGATCACCGTGCACCTGACAGGGAAAAGAATTACTAAGAAATCTGCTGTTTAGATTTAAAAAAAAAAACACAAAGTCAAATCTAAAATTTAGTTTTGTTTTTGTTTGCTTATTCAAGTAACGCAATGAGAATAATTCAGTTTCACCTCGTTCTGTTAAATTAAGATAAACACAGTTCATATTTTTAATACTTTTAATCACCGTGTTTAGTTAAAAGAGTGTTTTCATCAGGCTGCTCAGGGATGAGTTTTCTTACTTCTTATTGTGAAACGGCAAAGAGCAGATTATGAATAATTTCTAAATGTAATTTAAAGATGAACGGTCGAGATCTTTAATGTCACAGACTTTGTTTGACAAGAACTCCACCCACGACGCAGCGGAACTGCTCTTGAAGAGCATCGTCACTCATGCCAGTTCTCTTTCAAATATGTTCTTCAAGTACCAAATGTGGTTAATATTTAAAGTGCAAAAAAAAGAAACGGCAGTTTATAATTAAAGGTCTATAATTCCTTCGAGTAATGCATATCACCCATCGCCTTTTACACCAGAGTTTTAGATTAAAAATCATCTAATAATGAGAAATTATGAAGTAGGCATTTTTATCAATCGTTAATATTAATGTTAAGCCGTATTGCAAGAGGGAACCGACACAGATTAAAGTCTGATTTATTTATTTTCTAACATATTTTAACCTAGGTGGACCGACGCAGATTAAAGTCTGATTTATTTATTTTCTAATATACTTTAACCCCACATGGACTGACACAGATTAAAGTCTGATTTATTCATTTGCTAACATACTTTAACCCCGGTGGACCGACGCAGATTCATGTCTGATTTATTTATTTTCTAACATACTTTAACCCCAGTGGACAGACGTAGATTAAAGTCTGATTTATTTATTTTCTGATATACTTTAATCCCACATGGACCGACGCAAATTAAAGTCTGATTTATTTATTTTCTGATATACTTTAACCCCA